GTAAGTATAATTTACTTATTTTCTTGTGTGTTACAGAAACTTAGGCGTATCTGTGTGCTCCTCAGCCAGTGACATTGGGGCAGTTGTTGCTCTGTTTATTCTGTACAGGTTAGCTAGTATTTGGCAAGAGCTTCCCCTCTTTGTCTGTGGTGAGAAGTCATTTCAATTTCAGAAGTGGAAACACAAATAATTTCCTTGTGTTTCTTATCGACTCATGTTTCTCTCTGTCCCCATATACAGGGGCCATGTCAGTTCTGTACAGTGGACTTGTGATGCTTTTACCAGAAATGAGAGGTGTTGATCTGCCAGAAACTGTGGATGATGTGGAAAATATGAGAAGGTAGGGGTTTTTAGTTCACAAATAATATAGTTGTTAATTTAGTCTGTTTAGAATGTCTTATGTTCTTTAGCAGGCGCAAACACAAGGAAAAAGATGGGCCTCAGTTTCCTGAAATAAACATTGTTCCAATGAAAGCAACTGAGAGAACATCCTAGAAATGATTTCATTTCATACATAAATGTAATCAGAACATTTATGGTTGATAGCATCACCATGTACTGTAATATCAGCGTACACTCTAAAAAATGCTGGGTTGTTTCAACCCAACTTTGGGTCAAATATGGACTAACCCAACTTTTGGGTTAAAAATTGAATGTAAAAATTTAACCCAACGGTTGGGTTAGTCCATATTTGACCCAAAGTTGGGTTGAAACAACCCAGCATTTTTAGAGTGTAATATCATATATGCAATATGCATCCAAAAGAAAAAATGAAAGTATAGGTGCATTCAGATGATTTTAGACATTTTAAATGACATATTTCTATACTTTTAATGCTTTATTTGCTGGCTATATTTCTTTTGTTCATTAAATGTGTCTCTTCATATTTAATATCTAATGTGTCTATATATATTTTAATTGTTCACGTTCTGGGTGTTGTAGCCTAGCCTGTTTTATATTCATGGTCATAACTCACATCCAGCCATCCATGAAACTCCCTTTTAATGAAATGCTTTTATTTACACACAATAGTTTGTTAATTAAAGTGTGGTGACCTGTAAATTCTCTTTTATTATGTTATACGTTAGTGTCTGAGTCTGAACAGAAGGGTACATTCATTGTATTCCAACACCCAATCTAGTCATTCTAGTTCAGCAGAGCAGATTTAGTCAGTTTACTGAACATATTGGACAAAAACAATCAAATGGGCACTAAAAAGTAGAGCATTTCCTTTAAATGAGGCTTGAATGAACAAATTATGGCCCTCCCTATTTCATTCTTTAGTGTTAATGTAGCCCTTTACATTAGGACAACATGAGAAATGAGGTTAGCCTTTCAACTGCTGTGTGTTAATGGGTCAAACAAACTCAAACAATCAACCATCAGTCTGAATGTTAATCAGGCTGGGAAAAAATCAGTGCCATGCAGGCATTTGACGGGAGAATAGCGTGAAGTTTAGTGAGCCTCAGCAGCTCTGCTTCATTTTGATACCAAGTTGGTTGATTTTTATATAAAAAAAAAAAATCTATATCTGATAAGCTCATCAAGAAATGAAGCAAAAACAAAGAAATGCTATTGATTCGGGTCATGGTGCTGAGATGAATCCAGAGGAGCGCAGGAGACTTCAGGAAAACATCCAACAGTGGAATTCAAACCGACTCAGCCTGTTTGAGATAACTGAACCTGATGAGGTGAACACTTTTCTCTTTT